TATTTTTATTACTGAGACCAAACACTTTGATCTCTAGTGTTTAGAGTTGTGAAGAGCTCATATTTACTGAGGGCTTACGGTGTGCCACGTGCTCTCCTAAGCACTGTCTATGCAATCCTCATGACAACTTCTTGAAAAATATGCTGTTATTATCCCATTTTATAGATGAAGAAGCTGAAGAAGAGGGATGTTCAATAACTTGATTAAAATCACAAATCAGTAAGGAATAAAGCCAGAAGTTTTTCTTAGCAGTCTAAGTCCAGGGCTTATTCTCTCAACCAATCCACAACATTTTCTTTCATTGTATTCTACAATGTAAAGTTGAAAATATAAATAACATTGATCAGTTTTTAGTTTTCTGGAAATTTTCTAATTCTGTACTGTCTCCAAAATTTGCCAAGAAATATAAAATAATTCACCAAGATAAATAGAGCTAAACCTATTCAAAAATCACAGGAAGTCTAGTATATTCGTATCTTTTATCTGAATTGCCCTTTCTAGTTTGCACAGCATTTCATTGACTCAGATGTTTCAGTCTTTCTGTGAATCTTCCTCTAGATCCCCAGGCAGATGTGGGTATTTTTAAAGTTTTATTCCCCCTGGGTTTTGTACTCACCTCTGTTACTATAATTATTTCAGTATATTTCTTATATATTTTATAATTATTTGCATGTCTATCTTGTTTATTATTATTATTATTATTATTATTATTTTTTGAGATGAAGTCTCCCTCTTGTCCCACAGGCTGGAGTGCAATGGCACGATCTCTGCTCACTGCAACCTCCGCCTCCTGGGTTTGAGCCATTCTCCTGCCTTAGCCTCCCAAGTATCTGGGATTACAGGCGCCTGCCACCACGCCCTGCTAATTTTTAGTAGAGACGGAGTTTCACCACATTGACCAGACTGGTCTCTAACTCCTGACCTCAGATGATCTGCCCGCCTCGACCTCCCAAAGTGCTGGGATTACAGTGTGAGCCACTGCGCCCGGCCGCATGTTTATCTTCTTATTGGACTACCAACTTCTTGAAAGAAGAGATTATATCTTCTCATCATAATAGAGATACCAAGTAAATACTGCCGATAGAAACGGAAGAAAAGCAAAGGGGGTCTTGAGAAACTCAGGTTTCTCTGACATAAAAGTTAACATGACACTATTATTTCCAAGAAATCAAGCTCTTATTTTTTCTTGTTAATCTTCTTTAAACAGACAAGCAGAAACAATGACACAAAGAAAGCAGTCTTTTTATTCGCGTCAGACTCCCTCCTCTCACCACTGCCACACTTTAGTTCATTCTGGGCTACAGCCTTTCTGGTTCTATTCTAGGAGATTTCTGTCGCTGTTTTAAAATTGTCTTCATTAGGTGCCCCGTCTCTCATCTTTTTTTTTTTTTTTTTTTTTTTTTTTTTTTTTTTTTTTTTTTTTTTTGAGACGGAGTCTCGCTCTGTCGCCCAGGCTGGAGTGTAGTGGCCAGATCTCAGCTCACTGAAAGCTCCGCCTCCCGGGTTTACGCCATTCTCCTGCCTCAACCTCCCGAGTAGCTGGGACCACAGGCGCCCGCCACGCCGCCCGGCTAGTTTGTTTTTTTTTTTTTGTTTTTTTTTTTTAGTAGAGACGGGGTTTCACCTCGTTAGCCAGGATAGTCTCGATCTCCTGACCTCGTGATCCGCCCATCTCGGCCTCCCAAAGTGCTGGGATTACAGGCTTGAGCCACCGTGCCCGGCCCTCATCTTTTATTTCTATGCTTTTGGGTCTGAGCCCATAAGAAAAGCTATTTGCAGTGCCACATTTCTCCTCCTATATGCCCTTCTTTACTTACTCATTGGATGATACACTGTTGCCATGTCAGGAACTTATTTTTGATAGTTTCTCATTTCTTCTCAAGCTACTGGCTATCTTTCTCCCAACTGTGGTTGATTGAATTCTATCTGACTGTTTGGTTTTTAAAATTTTTCTTCTCCAAAATATAGGGATTTTGACCAGTGATTTTCTTTATTGGTAATTTGCATGATACTTCCATATGCACTTTCTTCTCTATAACTTTAGAACATGAAGAAGCTGAAGTTAGAGAATTTAGAAAAGTACTCAAGGTGAGACATCTTCCAAGTGGCAGGAAGTTGCTTAAAACCATATCTGTCTGGTGCTAAAGCACATGCATTTTATCCATTACATAGTGTATACTTATCAATTCTATGTAAGATGCAGCAGGCTTCAAGACCCACTTTGCCCAAGGCAAACCTTAGTACCAGCTTACTCAAGGCCAATCAGGAAGTACTTAGCAGAACTGTAATGAGAAGCAAAGTTTCTGATTGCTAAGGCAGTGCTTTTTCTACATCTTAACATCTTCCATTACTGGGTCTGAGTGGAGAGTGTAACACTGACTTGGTATTTTATATAGTATTTTGAAGGATCAGACGAGCTTTGAGTGTGGAGGGATATAGCATCATTAGATCCAAATATTATGTTGGAAAAACACTGGCATCTCTATTTCCTGTCTTCATTCACATGAAGTAGAAATAATTGGTACATTCCATCAAAGCCTGTGCTGATGCAATACTAAAGCTTTAGGCAGATGGCACTCTCAATAGTTCCTTTTCCAGAGTCATTGTTAATGCACCCTTCCTCTTAATTTTCCACTTCTGTTTTCATAATAAAAATAGAGAAAGGTCTATAGAAAACATGAGAGTAAGGGAAAATTAGTTCAGGAATGTTCTCTGGAGCTTTAAAAATAATCTAAGATATACTAGGGAATACATTTTAGTCTGCTGACTCCCTTTAGTTATATTTGTTTTATTGTACAATCCCATTCTTCAGCTCTCTACCCCTTTAAGGACAATCATTCAGCCTTTGCTGATAGCCAGTTTTCCTAACGTCTATCCACTACTTCATTCAGAGTAACTCTAACTCCTTTCTCATCTAATGGGCCTTACGATATTTCAAAAGTATTAACATGAGCAACTAAGTCTTCTCTCCCTACGTTGAACACCTCAGTGGTTCTATGTATAGATGAAAGAATGGAGATCTAAGAGCCAATTACCTAGCTCTGCCACTTACTAACCATGTTGCCTGGTCAAGACACTTAATGTCTCTCACTTTTCACATTGCCACTTATAAAAATGGATGTAGTAACACTTATCTCAGAAGATAGTTATGGGATCAAAATTAATATCAGAGAGCGTGTCAAACACTTGCATACTGTAAATTGCTATATAAATGTGATCACAGCTGCCCTGCCCTGGCTGACAGTCCAGTTGTTACACTCAAACTGGAATAAAATGCTTCAGAATGGAGTAGATCTATAAAGGATATAGGGAGATCATTTGTTTCATCAACAAAAACATATTCTTTAGTATGTCTAAAGTTGAATTAGATGTTGTTAGTAGCTATGCTAGTTCATTTTTTTTTTTTTTTTTTTTTTGAGACGGAGTCTGGCTCTGTCGCCCAGGCTGGAGTGCAGTGGCCGGATCTCAGCTCACTGCAAGCTCCGCCTCCCGGGTTTACGCCATTCTCCTGCCTCAGCCTCCCGAGTAGCTGGGACTACAGGCGCCGCCACCACGCCCGGCTAGTTTTTTGTATTTTTTAGTAGAGACGGGGTTTCACCGTGTTAGCCAGGATGGTCTCGATCTCCTGACCTCGTGATCCGCCCGTCTCGGCCTCCCAAAGTTCTGGGATTACAGGCTTGAGCCACCACGCCCGGCCTGCTAGTTCATTTTAATATTGTAATCAACTGAAACACCCAAATTTTCTGAGGTCATTTCTATTTTGTTGACATACAATCATGATATTTATCTTAGATGTGGGAATTTATCTTTGTACCAGTTACATTTTGCACTATTGGTCTTGGCTCAATGCTTGCATATTTTGATAGTATTTAGAATACTGAGTGAGTCTTGTTGAATACGTTTTGCTTTCCAGCTTTGCCACATCTGGAAATAGATCTGTTTTCTTTCCAATATCCTTTGCCTATGGCCTGTATAAGACATAGTTATGTCCTCACTTATCCATTGTAGAACTGGAAGACTATGCACCTGTAAATACAGGAGGTCCTGAAATACTTTAGGGTGGGATCCATAATCTCTTGAAGGGTCTAAGAAAAGCTCCATTGGTGATATTTCTTTTCTTGAGTTGGTAGTATGAGGAAGAAGAATTAAGTGACTTACTTTCCATGCCAATACTTGTGAGAGGTCTCTACTTTTGGGGGGAACATTGATACTACCTTAGAATAAGATTATGGACTGAGAACTTAAAATTTTGCTTGTCACAGTGATGAAAGGAAAAATCTCGACTTGTCTACTTTCAAGTTGTGAAGACCTTTCCACACCCATTTATTGCATATGAGCACTTCCAGTTTTCACAGGAATGGAGAAGAGTATATTTATTTGCCAGAGTTTATTTTCCATGTTGTCCATATGTGTTGCTATAACAGAATACCACATGTAGGGTAATTGAAAAAGAACACAAATGTATTTCTCATAATCTGGGATCTAGGAAGTCCAAGATCAAGACTCTGATATCTGCTGTGACCCTTCTTGCTGCACCCTCACATTTGCAGAAGGCAGAAGGGCAAGAGAGAGCAATTTCACTCCTAAGAGCAAAATCCTCAGGACTTAAACACTTTCTCATAAGGCCCCACTTCCCAACATTGTTGCCTTGGGAATTAAGTTTCCAATACATTAACTTTTGGAGGCACATTTAGACCACAGCATTCTGCCCCTGACTCCCCAAATTGATATCCTTCTCAAGTGTCATGCCATCTCAATAGCCCCCAAAGTCTTAACTTATTTCAGTATCAAATTTCCCTTCAGCTATGAGTGTGTAAAATCACACAAGTTATGTTTCCTAAATATAGTGGAAGAATAGGTATATAATAGACATTCTCCTTCCAAGAGGTAGAAATAAGCTAGAAGAAAGGGGTAACTTGTCCGAGGTAAGTCCAAACCCAACAGGATAAGCAGCACTAAATCTTAAGGACTGAGAATAGTCTTCTTTGACTCTGTCTTACCTCTTGGACATGCTGGTGTGGGGATTGGGTCCCCAAGATCTCAGGCCACTGTGTCTTCATGGGTTTGATGAACACAGCTTTGTGTTCATTGCTCTAAAGTTCTGACATCCATAAAGTCCTAGGACATAGACATAATTCAGTCAAGTTTTTTGCCACTTTATAACAAAGATGACTTTTTCCCTAGTTTCCAATAAGATAGTCCTGATTTTGTTCTCAGACTTTATGAGAATAACTTTTACTGTCCAACATTGTTCATGACCAGTTAGGCAAGCTCTGAGAAGATTCAGACTTTCCCTACAACTCTTTTCTTCTGAGCCCTCACCAGAACTGCTGTTAATGCTGCTCCACTTACAATACAGACTCTTTCCAGTATTTATTTCAAAACTGTTCTAGCCTTTACCCATTACTCAGTTCCAAAGCTGTTTCCCTGTTTGTAGGTATTTGTTGTGGCAAATAATTACTGTCTTAATTCATTTATGCTCCTGGTACCAATTTATGTCTTAGTCCATTTGTGCTGCTGTGACAGAATATTACAGACTGGGTACCTTATAAAGAACAGAAATTTATTTCTCACAGTCTTGGGATCTGGAAAGTCCAAGATCAAGGTGCTGGCATCTGTTGTGGGTCTTCTTGCTACATCCTCACTGGCAAAAGAGAGTACACTCATCACTGTAAGTCTTTTTTCTTTCTTTCTTTCTTTCTTTTTAAAAAATAGAGATGGGGTCTAGCTGTATTGACCAGCCTGGTCTTGAACTCCTGGTCTCAAGTGATCTTACTGCCTTGGCCTCCCAAAGTGCTGGGATTAGAGATGTGAGCCATTGTGCCTAGTCTTGTAAGCCCTTTTTATAGTGGTATTGATCCATGCATGAGAGCAGAACCCTCATGAACTATGCATCTCCAAAAGGCCCCACCTCTCAACACTATTGTACTGAGAATTGAGTTTCTAATACATGAATTTTGGAGCACACATTCAGACCATAGCAGTTGTCTTTTTATATCCCAAGAATATGTAACTTAACAACTCACTTATATACCTTTCATCTTCTGGAACACTGACTAATTTTAGAAAGTTTCAGCCATATCTTTCCAACTTTGGGACTATAAAATCTAACTTTAGATAGAGTATAGAACAGTGACTTGATTAGAAATTCTCTATGGCAAGCAGCAAAGATCATGTTTTAGAACTTCAGTTTCTCATCTGAAAAAGAGAATTACGATCTTTATAAGTTTGATATGTTGATAGGTAGCCTAGATTTGTTTTGTTCCTATAAAAGTGTCTGTCATAGAGGTAACTGTAACTCTAGATATTGCCCTGTGATTGATAAACTTGGGAACTTAAAGTCTAATCATGGCTCCAACATGAAAACGTCCCACTAGGGAAAAACCAAGTGATAAAAGGATAAAGCTTTTCAGGAATGTTATTATAGATTAAGCAGTCAGGGAGGAGACACTGAATAGGATTAACTTTGGTACTTGGGCTTTAAAAATATTCATACAGATCTTTCTCTGAGGCTTTGTGCTCAACTCAGCATTTAGTTCTAACATTTCCTATGCATCCCACTTTCTTAGTCTTTGATGACTTTGCGACAATTTAAATTTCTGCCTTTATAGTCCATTCTTCTTCTGTATCTTCAAACATGTTTAGATTTTTTGATCTTGAAAAATTTTTATTTGACCCTGCTACCAACTCCAGCAATAGGTGAGGTAGGCTTTTCAAACCACCGTCTACACCCCTTTGCTTATACTTCCTTATCTTTCAGTTATTCATGGGTTTGTATTCAACCTTTACCACCAAAATGGAAATTTTAAGGTCATCCATGATGTCTCAAATGACGTATTCTCAGTTTTCTTATTTTTGGGCTTCTTTGAAGGATTAATTTGGTTAACTCTTAAAGTCTTAAAACTTTCCCTGGCCCGTGACCTTCAAAATATTTTACTGTTCTAGTTTTTCATGCTGCTCTAGTTGCCTTTCTGGTAGGATTAACATAAATTCCAAGCTATTCACAATGATTTACAAGCTCCTTTATAGTTTTGGTCATTTGTCTAACTCTCTAGACTCATGTCTTGCCATCTTCTACCTTGTACTTTACACTCCTCGTGCTAACATTCTTTGGTTTCTTGATAATTGCTGTTTGTCCTTATTCATCTCTGGTCCTTGGGACATGCTACTCCTTCTCCTAGGATACCCATCCCACTTTCTCTTCATTTGGCTAACTCTACTTATTCCTTGTCTCAGCTGAAATGTGAGTTCCCCAAGGAGATATTCCCCAACCTTTAAAGTAGGGCTGTATACTCTTTGAACACAGATGTCTATATCAAAACATTTATATTTTTAACTGGAAGCTACCACCATTAAGGTATAGGCTTTAAGAAGAATGTTTTTGTGGCTGTATCTTTCTATAATGTGACACATATAATTATTTACAAATGGTTGTTGAAAAAATGGATAAATGAATGAGTGATCATCCACTCCCAGTCATCTCTATTGATTTCTCTTCTTCCTCTGTTCTTTCATGCGTAAAAATTGGGGTAATTGTATCTCTCATATTTATTGCATGGCATTGTTGTGAAGATTGAATGAGGTAATGTATACAAAATGATTTATTTCTAAATTCATGCATATAAGTATGCATAAAAACAGACATGCAACAAGATCACTTGATATAATTATTTTCCCTCACTAGCAAGACTTAGTCTCTTTTGTATGGTAAATGATGCTTTCAGAAATATCCATATTGTAATTCTCAGGCATTTCTGAGATTGGACAAATTTGTGTTAATCCTGATTAAACAAAGATACAAGAGGATTTGAGTGAAGGTTATAAAAATCACTGACATCCTTGTGAGGGAGCTCAGGAAAATTTGAGATTTGTTTTTTGCTTTTTTTTTTTTTTTTTTTGTGGAGGGGAACAGAGTCTCACTCTGTTACTCAGGTTGGATTGCAGTAGGGCAATCACGGCTCACTGCAGCCTCAACTTCTCAGACTTAAGAGATTCTTCCACCTCAGCCTCCTGAATAGCTTGGGACTATAGGCATAGGCTACCACATTCAGCTAAGTTTTAAGTTGTTTTATAGAGACAGGGTCTCACTATATTGCCCAGGCTGGTTTTGAACTCCTGGCCACAAGTGATCCTCCCACCTCAGCCTCCCAAAAAGCTAGGATTATGAGCATGAGACACTGCACCAGGCCAATTTTTGCAATCTTAACTCAGGACATAGGAAATTATCTGTAAACTAATAATTTCTACCCAAAGTTATTCTATCTTGAAAGTAAATCCATATTAAACAATGCCTTTCCTCATACTATAGTAGGTTTTTTCCCCCCCAATTTTCCTTGTTTTTGATTCCAGAGAGTTATCTAAGTTCTTTATTTATTAGTTTGTCGTGGAACCACAAAAGGATAGATTTGAGAAGTTACAAAAACAGTAAGGGTTTTTATGTCCTTGTATTCACCTATTTTTTGGGGGGGGAAATCTTGGAGTGCTTTTAGATAATCTCTGACAGTAGAGAGGAAATGAATATTATTTTTTAGAATTATATTTGGGAAAATCCAAATCCAAGAAGAAATAATTTGCCTATAGCTCTGTGTGACACCAGAGTCACAGAACTATAAATAGAAATAAGATAATTTTTGATACAAACTTCTAAAAGCTAATCACCAAGCTGTTTTCACAAATTATGTTGATCACAAAACATTCTGAAGTACTACTACCAATTCAAATGACTTATACTGGGCTTCGGTCTGATTGGATAATATTAATGAAACGAATAAACTAGGTGAGGCCCTGGAAATTTGCTTATTGTACAGTATTTGAGCTTATACTAATGTTTTACTAAAAGGGAAGCAGCCAGCAAAGAGGAAACAATACAAAATGATGTCAGGTAATCATGGAACATATTCTGGTTAATATTCATTTGAACTCATGCAAGTCAGAAGCCCTGGCCCAGACTCACTGCTTCCTGGTCCAGCTCTACAGCAGAGCAGAACCCACATATGGCTATGCTAGAGTGAATAGTGTTTACCTTTGTTAGGCTCTAAGGCAGGATAAAAGTACTCAAAGTGGAATCTCAGTATTTGGAACAGGGAGTGAACATGCCAAGAACTCCAGGTTGCTAACATATCTTCTGGAGCTAAAGAATAAGAATAACAAATACTTACTGAACACTTAGTGTACCAGGAGCTGTTCTAAGTACTTTATGTGAAACAATTTATTTAATCCTAACAGATCTATGCCAAATAAGACAACTGAAATGTAGAGAAGATAAAGAACTTGCTCAAGTTTGTGCAAGAAATGAACAGCAATATCAGGCTACAAATGCAGGTAGTTTGACTTCAAGACTGAACTCTTTATCATTTTGCTGTGTTAGCTCACTTGTCAATGCCCATTGTAAGCCTCATTTAAGGCATGCAATCCTTACAAGATATTGTGTTAATGGGAGGAGATTTACTGTCTAGATTGAGAGTAACTATTATGAAGCATACTGATAGTTGACATAAAAATGACAAATGAAAGTGTCATTTAATCAAATATTAATTGAACACCACATAACTGACCTCTGGCAAGAACTGAGGAAGCTATAAAAAAATGGAAACTTGGACCGGCTGACCAAGGCACCAGGCCAGCCTTCCAGAGGACTCTAGTAGCAAATTTACCCATGGACCACTAGAAAGTCATCCTAGAATCTCTGGTTAGACTGACTGATGAAGAGCTTCCCCTGCCAAAGTGAGTTTGTAAAGGCTGAAATAAGTGACTATTTCTTTAATTGTGCAGATGTCAATACATGTCCAAAAGGATCACAAACAATCAGGGAAACATGACACTATCCAAGGAACAAAATAAAGTGCCAGTAAATGACATGAAGGAAATGATGATTTACCAACTATCTGATAAAAAATTCAAAATCATCATCTTAAAAAAGCTCAGTAAGCTACAAGAGAATAGAGATAGATAACTAAACAAAATTGGAAATAGTATATGAGAAAATGAGTTCAACAAAGAGACAGTAACCATAAAAACAATGAAACATAAATCATGAAGCAAAAGAACATAATTACTGAGATAAAAAATTCCACAGAAATCTTCAACAGCAGACTTGATAAAGCCTAAGAAACAATCAACAAGACTGAAGATAGATCATTTGAATGACCAGTAAGAGGAACAAACAGCAAAGAAACAGAAAGAAGAAGAAAGATTACTTTAAAAAATGACAGAAAACTCCCCAAATCTTTAGAGGAAAAGGAACACCCAGATCCATAAATCCCAACGCATCCCAAAATAAATTAAATGTAAACACATTTTTACTGAGACAAATTATAATCTCTCAAAAGTAATAGCCAAAGATAATTTTCAAAACAGCAAGAGAAAAGCAACTAGTCACATACAAGGTAACACCAAAAGGAAATTTGTGGATTCCCCAGTAGAAAGCTTGCAGGCCAAGGGAGAGTGGAATGAAATAGTCAAAGTACTGAAAAAAAAAAAAAAAAACCCATCATCCATTTAGAAATGAAAGAGAGGTAAAGACTTTCCCAGAGAACAAAAGCTATGGGAGTTCATTACCACTAGACATGCCTTATGAGAAATGCTAAGAAAATTCTTCAAACTGAAAGAAAAGGATGGTATTTTGTAACATAAAACATATGAAAGTATAAGATTTATGGATCGAAGTAAGTATACAACGAAATTCAGATTATTCTCATACTGCAGTGGTGGTGTAAATAGGTATAAGTGTGTAAATCACTTATATCATTAGTATAAAGATTAAAAGACAAAGCTATTAAAATTAATGATAGCTGTAATAATTTGTTAAGGAATAAACAATATAACACGACATAAATTGTAACATCAAAACATAAAATGTTTGTGTAGGAAAGTAAAATTTTAGAGTTTTAAAAATGTGATTGAAGTAAAGTTGCTATGAGCTTAAATGAGACTGTTACAACCACAAGATATTTTATTTAAGCCTCATAATCATAAGGCAAAAACATAATGGATACACAATAGTAAAATAGTCAAAGCATACCACTAGAGAAAAATAATCTAATAACAAAGGAAGACAGCAAGAGAGGGAAAAAACAACAAAGGAAAAAAGAACATAATTACTGAGATAAAAAATCAAGGAGCTACAAAACAAGAATAAAACAATGAACAAAATGGCAATAGTAAGGACCCATTTATCAATAATTACCTTGAATGTAAATGTATTAAATTTTCTAATAAAAAACCAGAGTGGCTGAACAGATTAAAAGAGAAAAAACAGCAACAAGAAAAATTATATGCTGCCTACAAGAGACTCACTTCATCTTTAAAAACATATATAGGCTAAAAGTGAAAAGATAGAAATAGATATTCCAGGCAAATGGAAAATTTAAAAAGCAAGGGTAGAAATACTAACATAAAATAGATTTTAAGTCAAAAATTATAAAAAGAGACAAGGTAATTATTTAATGATAAAGAGGTCAATTCATCAAGAGGAACAACAGTTGCATGTATATATACAGCCATCATAGGAATACCTAAATAGATAAAGCAAATATTAATAGATCTGAAGGGAGATATAGACTGCAATAAAATGCAATACAATAATAGTAGGGGACTTCAATACCCTACTTTCAACAATAGATAGATCATCCAGACAGAAAATCAATAAGGAAACATTGGGCTTCTACACTCTAGACCAAATGGGCCTAACAAACATATACAGAACATTTCATTTAGAGTAGTAAAATATACATTCTTCTTAAGTGCATATGCAATATTCCTGGGATAATAATGTTAAACTGCAAAAAAGTTGTAATAACTTTTAGGACATTGAAACCATAGCAAGTGTATTTTTAACTACCATGGTATGAAACTAAAAGTCAATGACAGAGGAATTTTGAAACATTCACAAATATATGTAAATTAAACAATATGACCAACCAATGGATGAAGAAGAAATTAAAAGGGCAATTAAAAGATATTTAGAAACAAATGAAAATGGAAACACAACATACCAAAACTTATGAGATGTAGCAAAAACAGTTTTAAAAGTCGAGTTTATAGCAATAAATGCCTACATAAAAAAGAAGACAGATCTCAAATAAACAGCCAAACATTGTACCTCAAGGAATTAGGAAAAAAAAAACCAATCTGAGCCCAAATTTAGTAGAAAGGAAACAATAAACATCAGAACAGAAATAAATAAAACAGAGACCAGTAAAAAATTGCAAAAGATCAGTGAAACTGTTTTTTGAAAAGACAAACAAAATCAACAAATCTTTAGACTAAGAAAAAAACAGAGAAAACATAAAATCAGAAGACATAAAATAAAATCAGAAAGACATAAAATTAGGAGACATTATAACTGATACAACAGAAGCACAAAAAATCAAAAGGACTACTATGAACAATCTTACATCACTGTATTGGACAACCTAGAGGAAACAAATACATTCCTAGAAACATAGAATTTACCAAGATTGAACAATAAAGAAATAGAAAATTTGAACAGAACAATCACAAGTGGGGAAATTGAAATACTAATAAAAAGACTCCCATCAAAGAAAAGCCCAGGACCAGATAATTTCACTGCTGAATTCTACCAAATATTTAGAATGGTAATACAAATTCTACTCAAACTCTTCCAAGAAAATCAAAGAGGAGGGAATACTTTGAAACTAATTTTATGAAGCCAGCATTACCCTGATATGAAATCTAGGCAGGTACACTACAAGAAATGAAAATTACAGACCAGTATTTCTGATTAACATAGATGTAAAAAGTCTTCAACAAAATATTAGCAAACCTAATTCAACAATGCATTAAAAAATCAAAAACTATGATCAAGTTGGATTTATCTCAGAGATGCAAGGACACTTCAACTTATGGAAATCAATAAATGTTATATACCACA